GAGCATAGAAGATCTAAATATGCATGTTCAAGATCAAATTTTTTTAACACTAATTCTAAAATAAATAAAATGTAACTTTGTCCCAAAAAAAATTATGTCCCTGCATTTGCAGGGGCCTTAATACTAGTTGGCGATAAAACAAACAAAGATATTGCCGAGCAATAAATTCCTAATTTAGTGTTGACCTTAAACAAGTTGACAAGTAGTTAGTTGCTTAAGCAAGAGGTATGTCCGTATTAAGTAAAGACATCTAGTTAATGGCTTGTGTATGATATATCAACTTGAATTATATATACATCTTAAAAGAAAAGATAAAACTTGATTCATTTATTGGGATACGTATGGAGAGTCGGAGACTTCTTCACTTCTTCAATCACTCTAAACTTCTAAAGAAAGATTCAAGAGGGAAAGATAATTTTAGACATCACTCAGATTTTTTTTTTTAAACATCTAGTTTTTTAAGGAGGGTACAATAGCAGATTATTTAGAAAAATGCAATGAAAGAAGTATAGCTACAAAATATTCAGCCAATTTTTTTACATATTAATGGGTTCACTCAACCATTTTCTCTACTTTTTGCGAAGAGAGAGAGAGAGTAGAATCTCAGTGGAGAAAAACCGCATATATAGATTTTAACCACTTGACTATTGACTAAATACAATTCTTCAAATTATTTATCCACTCTTTGTTCTTGGCAGTGGATGATAATTAGGGCTCAAGTTTTGACATACACAACTTATGCGGCTCTAGGCGAATTTTAAAAAGGTTCGATATTTTTTTTACTGGGCCCTGGGCCCATATGTTATATTGCTTTAACGGAAAAAAATTTGATGTTTTTCGGTTACTTTTGATACGTTTTATGGTATTGCTTTGAATTCGATTGCTACAAAATAAATACAACCTGAGGTGAAAAAGAAAAAAATACAACCCGTCACAATTAATGGTGTTGAATAGTTTATATCATTTAAAGAACTACTCATGAAACTTCCCAAAACCCAACTTCAAAAATCTAACATCTTGAAAATGGTATATATATGCAAAGTTGTAGCTACAATAATGATCCACAATAGATGATAAAACGTGAAGTTTAGAATAATCATAGAAGAGTAAAAACCATTTTAACCACCATCTCCTACATTTTGCGTGAGCAGAATAATAGAACAGAATAATAGAAGACATGGTGAACCACATTCACTTCATCAACGATTGACTCAGTTCATCGATAAAGCTGTACGGAATATATAGACTTTAAGTTCTTTATAAGAAAAACACGATAAATGTGGAAGGTTTCTAAGATTATGGGAAATCGGAGAAAGGATCTATAAGAAAAGAAAGACATGGGCTCAGTTTAGTCTAGCTATAAACAAATTAATTTCCGTATTTGTTTAGCATTCAGTTGGTCAAGAGAATCAATTACTTCGTAATAAAAAATAAACGGATCATAACTCATATATCTTGAGCACAACTAATCTCCAGCCTTAGAACAGTTGAAGATCTCTGATCAGACCAAAGTTTTGTCTTTAGAGGTCTATGTAGAGCCAGTGTGGCATGTGTCTCCAAAGTTTGAACATTTTACATTACAAATTATGAATCGTTGGAGTCATATATTCACATACGCTTTGAAAATTAAACTAATCATTTGCCTTGACCCGTTGTCCAAACCAAAGGACAACAAAAAAAATCAGACTAGTTTAGTGCATATTGCAAAATTATTATCCTACGTTTGAAACCAAAAATTTGTATGTTCTCGACATTTCATAATTAACTTTTTATTTTCTAATTTATCTCTACTGAATGAGGTCATTATTCATTAAACAAGTTTCAAGAATGTCAAACTCGATAAAAGTATTGATTTGTTTCTCAAAAACAAATGCTGTAATATTGATTTGTTTCAACATTGACACTAAGGTATATGCCCGATATATATGATTAATATATATAGTTTTTAATATGTGTTTTTGGGCGGCAAATATTCGTAAACAGAAATGTTTGTAGAATGAAATGTACAGTACGTACAATATGACCTCATTTTGCAAAATAAATAACAAGAATGATTACAGGCGTTAATTAAAGATTGTTAGCTGGAAATTCACACTGTCTTAATATCTTAGCCTATCTTATTGTATAAATGATTTGACTTACAAATTAAATTGAATATTTAATTTATTTTTAATAAGAAATAATATAACTTAGTAAAAAAAAAAATAAGAAGAAACACGTACGCAAGTTACAAGTTAGTGCCAAGCACTGTTTATTGCAATGACTACAAATACTTTCTCATTTCAATTCCTCTCCTCATCTCTCTGATCACTCTCCACAAAAAGGTCATCGTCCGGAAAAACAAGAAAAGACGAAAATGACCCTCTTCAAAAGGCCGTGCATCTACTCAAAGATACACAAGGACGACCCCGAAGAGGTATTTCACCGACGAGCCAAGTTCTTGATTTACAAAACGCTTCAAGAAGTCGACCTCATTTCTCGTCGTTCTTCTCCTCCTTCGTCGTTTCTACGGATGAAGCTTTTCCGATTGAAGGCGAAGATCGGAAAAAGTTTGACTAAGCTGCGTAAGAGCGTGGTATCCGCGGTTAGATTTGGCGGAATTCGGAAGCATTCTCTTAGCGGTGTGAGAGCCTTGAAGAAGCTGTTCCACAGTGGTGCAACAACCGGACTACCAAGGCCTATTTTCGCTCTTGAAGTTTGATTCTTAATTATCTATCTTCTTGTTTTGTGTATTTTCTCTCTTTTTTTCTTGAGTTGATCTCTAGCTATTACAAAAGTTTATCAAGAAATGTAATATGAAGAGATCATCATGAGTTTTGTTTCTTTCATAAATGGGAAAATTCTTGAAAATTGTTATATCCATGATCCATCTAATTATATGAATATGCAAAAAATATTTGATAAGACACATATATATTGCATAGTGCTCTTTAATTTGGGCTAAGGAAATTGTAATAGACCTAGTTTTTCAAAATTCAAGCATTTTTAGTGAAAAGGACATGGATTGATTTGAAATGTAAATAGTTACGTGTTTTCAGACCTAAACTCATTATTCGAACTCTCATTTAATCTGATCGGGCAAGCCTTGTA